GAGAGCGAAACAAGCAACCAAGCACCAGTCAAAAGAAAAGGGAGCGTCAAAGAAAGAAACCGCCATGCACAACTCCTCATCGTCCTTTTGGTCATGCTTTTTTTGTTGTTGTTGGGACGGTTTGTAGAATGCACGCGCGCGCACAGATTTTCGACTCATAACTCGCAGAGCTCTGATAACTCGTTGACTCGGGCGCCGTCGAAAGATGATCAGGTATTGTTTTCTTATTGTTCGAGGCGCGTTGTTTAGCAGGCAGCCAACCCTGCTGCCTTCCATGTTCATTCGTGCGCACTCCTTTGAAGTGCGAAATGTGGGTTTGCTTCGGCATTAAAACCAAAACGAGATTCACTTCCCTCTTCTTTTGCGCTTTGCTCCAAAAATTGTTTTTTTTTTTTTTTTTCATACTGCGTTTGTAGTGTAAGCCCCCATCTTACTTGGTCTTTGTTCCGATGCTTGTTTTCTGCGTTATATGTTTTAGTGGGTTGGGGTTGCAAGCAAGCTAGCGGATTCCCGCTCATTTCCTTTGACTTTACTCTCTACATACTTCGTTTCACCTTGCGATGGACCGCTGCGGACGGTATACGAGTCACCCTAGAGAATCCAGCACCGTGAGCGGGACTGCAGGGTCACGCGACATTTAGAAAGAACTGGATTGGTTTCGGTGGCTCTCGTGCTGTCTATCGAGGTGCATCGTGAGGTGAAGTAGACTATCGTCATCGCTCTTGGTGTGACCGAACTGACTAGACCTGCAGAAAGAGTCGTCCCGCGCCAGACGAGGCGCGATCGTTGCTGTGAGGGCAACTGAGAAGGAGAGCTGGGTGCTAGCTGCCACTGAGGTTTTGGCTTCCGCGCGTCTCGGCTGTCCGGTCTGCATTCGTGCTCCTTGTCCTGGACCCTGTTTCAGGTGGTGAGAAGTCAGTTGGACGGTGTTGTTGAGGAAACATGGGGAATGTCAATTCGAACGGTGCGGTATTACCCCGTTAATTGTATCCTGATGTGAAGAGCTTTGTCAACGCTGACTTCCCGACCCGTCGCCACAACGCGAACAACCGACACCGAGGTAGAAGAATGAATCGGTTTGTACCGTCTGCTGCCTGAACCCGCCACTCGATCAGCGCGAAGAGGAACATCACAATTCGGACGAGAAGACAAGATAAATACAGATCGAGTCATGGCGTCGTGGAAGATATTTTTCTCCATTAGTCGCGAAGAAAATAAACAAGCTGCACGCTGAAAGTTGTGCAACGAAACTATACACAGTGCAGTCGGCGTATATCATCGAACTTTATTCGCCATCTGAAGAGGAAACACGAGAATGAGTATGGGAAGGGTGAAAAAGGGCAGGCGAACCAGCCAAAAATTGAACTGAATATGATAAGGAATATCGAGACTCGTAAAGCAAGCGTGAACTTATGCGTTTTAAAACAGGTTTCGTGACATGGTCTATACGGTCCCTCGTGCTGCGCCGCAGAGGTTGCATTTTGTCAGAGGATGTGTTCTGCCGCAGTGCATGGAGTCGCTTCCAGCAGTGTACATAGCCGTGTTGCTGTATTTGAAGAATACAGTAATATAGCTTATTCCTACGCCACGCACGGACTGGATATTTTTATGGTCTTATCAAACAAACACGCTGGCCGCGTATGTCTTAAAAGTCAAATGCGAAAAAGTTTAAAAAAGAAAAGAAAATGAGTGGATTTAAGTTTTGCTGTTTGTTGCCAGCCACTTGCTCGCGAGACCGATGTCTTAAACAAGCATCGACATATTAAGGGGCTTTCTCGATGCTTGCAGTACATTGTAAATAAACCCTTCCTGCCACCAGCGGTCCGCTTAGTAAATATCAGTGCTTTTTTTAGGAATTTAGCTTTTTTTTTTTTGCAATCGTGTCTGCATTTGATAATTTCAGCTTTATGCTGCTTATGCCGGCAACAAAATGTAGCTGTCAAGTGCCAATTTTTACGTTTAGGAATTAAAGGAATGGAATGGAACGATTCAGTCATTCCAGGAGTGGGAATGGGCCCAGTGTCTCCATTCCTAAGAATTGAAAGGAATTACATTGTCGAAAACTTTAATTCCCCGGAATAGATTTGGAATGAAATGGGGGTGCCCATTCCGCAACACTGATATCTATACATTGTGGCTATTCCCGCTCACCGCTTCCCCGGAGAAAGGGAATATGGTCTTCGCATCTGGAAGCTCCACTCTGTCTAAGTTCTGCCGCTGCCACGAAACAGGATAGCAGGAGCGAGGCGGCAGGCAGAATGAGACAGCGTTATAGTCAACACTTTGACAATGCACGTGACACGCTCGATGTCATCCTACTTGCTGGTCGGCACTGTCGAAGACTGCTCGGAGTTTTTTGATATCCTCCGCATTAGTCTCGAGCGTACTCCCGCGAGATTGCACAGTAGAACAGCGAGTGCACGTCCTTCGGGGCCGATGGGATGTTTCCTGCATGACTAGTATGAAGTTCTTGGTCTTGCACGAAATATTTGTTGAGCGCCGTAGGCCAGAGATACGGAGCTACCACGAACAAGCCGTTGTGAACCTTGGCGGCACACAATTTACCAACTTCGCCTTGCGTGTCAGAGAGATCGATAGGTACAGCACAGACCTGTATTTATGTAGATGGCCACTTGAATAATGAGTACACCACATTTTCATACGTGTCTTTTTGTGATTTATGAATGGTGATATCATTTGCCTGCAAAACCTGGAGCTGTCATGTCCCCTCCTTCTCCTCCTCCTGTCCTCCTCCCTCATCATCTACACCCTCCTCCTCTTCCTCCATCCTCCTCGTCATGGACATGTTCCGTGATGCAACGCTAAAACCCTCGTGACGACACGAGTGACGTCATTATGGGAATCGGAAACATCCCATGTTGCAACGCGCGGGTCACGGGTGAGACCCGCGCGTTGCATCACGGGACGTTTTTCATGTTGGAACGCGCGGGACCCTTGTGGCGTCACGTGTGACGCCATTATGGAAAACGTCCCACCATGCAACGCGCGGGTCACAAGTGAGACCCGCGCGTTGCATTATGGGACGTTTCCCATAATGCAGAGCGCTATTACGCCTACAGCGACGCCGACGCCGCTCAAGCCGGAAACGGGAACCTAAAAGCTGCGCTCTGAAAATTCCGTGCAGTATAACTTGTAGTGGTACGTTTTGTACAAGAGTTGCGGAGCCGACATCGACGCAGTGACACCGACTCTGTACGCGAAATTTTCTTTCCGGTGACACAGTCGATGCCTAAGCTAGAGGAATTCAATACCTCAAACAAGCACAATGTCATGCACGTTCGGAACACCTAACGAGACTGCTGGGAGTAAGCCCACTAACAAAAAAAATATAAAAAGTTATAAAAGTCCCGCAAGCTCTTTTGTCAATTTTGCGATTTTCCCGCTAAATTTAGCGGTTTTCTTAGTAATACAAAGGAAGAAATGGACGTTTCGCGGGCGACAAGGATTTGAGGGGTTTTCAAGTCGTGATAGCGTCTTCTGTGGCTGTATAAATACTCTCAAGTTACGTTTATGTATCATAAGTAAATTAATTTCTGCGGTAAGTTAGAATTATGAGGTCGTCGTAATTGCTTACTGTCAGAAATATGGGCGTCAGTGGAAATAACGATTGCGACCCCATTGAGATATTACAGTGCCAAATGTCGAAACACGGTTTCAACTGACTTGTGCGTGAATGTATGAACTCGTTTTTATGGTCTATTATAACGAATGGGGCCACTAAGCCAGTGGTCTCAAACTCATTTGAGCATACAGCCAGATTGTCTACACTGGAAAGGCCAAGGGTGAACGTTGGACGGGGGGGAGGGGGGAAGGGAGGGGGAAGCTCAAGAGATTTAAAAAGAAGAGACCTCGTGCTCTTTGCTTTTTGTAAACTCAATTTTGACAGAGACATCTTTAGATTTGACTTGTATAGATGACCACATTGGTACCTGACTTGATGTGATCACTAGAAGTAAACTGACACCGCCCCGCTAACATTCTTACATTTTAATAAAACAAAAGAGCAAGTACACGGTCATTACTTTGCTCAGTTCACACAGAAATGAACCCATCTCAACATGTCTTTAAAAAAAAATAATCGATTAACTTGAAAGTTTTTGCTGTCCGGACGATTTGTATTACCACACCCTGAAGAAATGCTTATCTTTTAATGGTGCTATTTTTTAAAGCAACTTGTAGCTTTATCTTTGGCAGCTGCTCCTGCTGATCCAGAGTTCGCGCAGCCAAGATGCATTCTTTAACAAAGAGCTCGCGCTTGCAGCCTAGTAGCGGAATTGTTGTACGTTACAAAAGGCTGGAAAGGAAAAAAATACGAAACATAGGGCAAATGAACTCAGGTAAGTTAAAACTATGTGAATATGTTACAATAGCAGCGCTACTTTTCGAGCCCAAATGAATCGGCTCGATGAGATCACTATGGCGCATGCAATTCCTAGCGCTTGAGACATGGAAACCGGGACTCGCAGCCGGTTGCCTGCTGGCCGCGCTCTAGCGAGCCGCGGGCCGCATTCGGCCCGCGGGCCGCATTTTCGAGACACTGCGCTATGCTATTCATAAAAATTCAGCGACCATGGGGCTATTAGACTCTAAGTTATCCAGACCAGTTACTGAAAGTTTCTAGCGACGTTACACGGAGTCAGATACCCCGTAGAATATAAGCTTTGGAAAAGCATGTGAATTTGGCTACTGAAGCTTGGGACTCCTACCAAATTTCGCACTAAAAATAGAAACGAAGGAGGTACGCGTCGGGAAGTAAACAAGACAACACACCTGATAACACTTGGTAATATTAAGAGCATGCAACCGACATTGTTCTGGGCAAAGAAGCGATGCGCGTCGATCAACGTAGCTCCCTTCTAAAGTTTTTTTATTCATTGTACCCTTTTGAATTAACTCTAGCGGAAAAGGGCGGGCGCCTAAAATGTACACAATACCCAGGGATTTTAAGGAAATGCTGCGGCGTGTATTCTTTTTTTATATGGGAAGACTGATTGCAAGATACGCCAAAAGAAAGTTTTACCCTGTATAACGTAGTACATATCTGCTGTGTATCGAACACGGCCTTTTCAGCCAAAGCAACAGTGGACGCAATCCGAAACACCAGGACAGTAAATCTGAGCGACAAGACAAAGACTAGAACGCCTGAAAACCACACACTGGGTGCGGTCACAGAGCAGACACGGCACCTCTTATTACACTAACAAATTGTATCCTAACCAACAAAAAAAAACATATATATATACTTGCATTATCAAATATTAACTGGCACATCTCACTTGCGTGTGAAAACCTCAGCCAACCCTTTTCCAAGTTACGCATCAACCCACAGGCACCAAGCATGCACCCGGTACGTCATATGCACAACCATTGGCAAAACGTTAGTAATCGGGGCCAGTCCACTCCATCGTCAGCAGACAGACCCTTCACCACCTCTTGATTTTCCGCAATTTTGAAAGCCGCCCAAAGAAATGTCTTCTTGGTGTCCTCCAAGTTTCGTAAGATGAACGCAGTTTGCATTAAGAAACAAAAACTAATTCCTTTTATATGTATCAGACGGCATCACGGGAGGCAAGATGGTCTTTCACGTCTCCTATCTCCGAGGAATGTCCACAATAAACGGGAAACGTTTTCTGACGACACTTCACATATACGAAACGAGAAACATTCATCCAGGTTGTTATCTCCCCATACCGAAAGACACAAACTTGTACTTTAGCGCAGAAGGCCACCACGGTCATCACCACGTCATCGTCGAGGCCGGCACGCGAAGGAAAACTCAGGTGCTGCGCTGCGCTTTCACGTTGGCATTGGCGTAGTGCTGGAACCTCCAGACTTGGTTGTCGCCCTTGGTGCAGGACCGCACATACGCGGCCTTCTGCTTTGAAGTGGTAGATTCGAGGCACAGGCCGGTCTCACGGTTGACGATGATGCCCCCCGCACTGTGGTACCACACTTGGTCCGGTTTCGGAGTGTTTTCTCCGCACGGCGCCATCATCACCTTGCGACGAATCCCGGACTCTGAATTTTCCACGGCCCCCAGCTGGGCGCAACTATCCTCCATGCGGAGTTCGCCCCTCCAAGTGTAGGACACCAGCTGCAAAGAGGGCGCCGAAGCGGTTGGATATGCTTACTGTCACACCTGTGCGGTGCGCTGCCCTGCACAATGTTGACTACTATTGACGAGGGAAATTACTTATAGGGAGCGCTTTGTCCACCTTGTTTTCCGCAGTGCTTGGAGTTTACCCGGCATACGGTCCCAGCCAATTAAGCGCGGAGCATAGAGTTTACATGTATGCTGCGTCAGCGTTGAGCTGGAACTCATTTTAAATCTGTATTTCAGTCGTTCAATACGTGGTCCAACTGAATACTGGCGCAGCGGTGGGCAGTCAATCAGACGAAGCGTCAGAAACAAAAACATCAAAGTCGTGTTGTTCCCGTGGCTTTAGTACTGAACTCAGCCGCTAGGGGACCGACTTTTAGAATACCTCCCCAATAGTTTGCTAACGTGACACGTTATCTGGCTAGTTGCTCCGGATTTCGTAAAGCCGCATTTCGTAAAGCCATGGCCTGCGACGTGGTTTCTTCGCTAGATTTAGCGGGAAAATTAACGTCACGTGACCTCAGTGCCAATGCAATTTTTTATCTAAATTTAGCGGGAAAAATAAAGTCACAATGTTTCATGTCACGTGACCTATACACAAATTTAATTTTCCAGCTATATTTAGCGGAAACATTCACGTCACTTCACGTAATGGCATGAGACATGTACTGAATTTCAGTTTTCTCGCTAGATTTTCCGGGAAAATTTACGTCAAGTGTCCTCCGTGCCAACTTAGCGTTCCCACTCAATTTACCAGAAAAAAATGACGTCGACGTGACTTCGTTTCGCGGTGGCTATACACAAATTCAGTTTCACCGCCAGACGGGGCAAGAAAATTAACGGCACGTGACCTCAACGCAAATTCAGTTTGCCCCTCTAGATTTAGCGGAAGAAATAATATCAAACGACTTCATGTCACCTGAATTGTACACAAGTTCAAATTCCCCGCTTAATTTAACGGGGAAATTGACGTCACGTGACGTGAAGTCACGTGACGCTAGAGAGTTTTGCGTAGGTGACACAGTTGCCAAAGAATTTGCGTATAACAATATTAGAAACGCATTTCAAGTCCCGCCTACAATGACTTCTCCTCTTTCCGCTTTAGCCAAGTCCTCCTAGATATATACAGGCGTCAGCACTCGGCCAGGCCTTGAGTCCTCTCTGATTGGACAGGAGTCCCAAACGAACGGTGACGCGGCACTTGTAACTCATCTGAGCGTCGCGCTGGCCTTCGGTGAGTGACACAGAAAATCCACAACTGCAGTCTTTTCTATCTACGACGATTTGACCTAAATGAAGAGAATTAAGGGCTTTGTTAGGAGGGGCTCCTCGCACAAATGCGTCAAACTAAAGGTCTTTTTAGCGCTTATCACCCGATCGAAAAATGTGGAGTCACTGATCTGTGTACGCATGCGCAGGGTCGGATATACCGTACAAGGGAGTCACAGCGCATGCTCAGAAGGCGTTCCGCAGCCCACCACACAAAGCTGGCTTAGCGCAGAGGGTGTGTTTTGAAAATGTCCGTACATCAAGTTCAGATGCAGCCGAAGCTACGAGGTGACTGGACCAATCAAGCCGCGTCAAAACCGAAAGTCAGTGGGCCTTCTTTGTTTATGATTTTTTCGGCGGCGAGAGAATACGTAGAAGAAACATGGCGAACTTCGTGATGGTGCGCTTTTGTTTCTGTCATCAGCGCGTAGCGTCGGTTGCGTCTGGACTTGAGATAAAACGAAGTATAGACCAACACGCGGCCTTTACGCCAGGCAACTGCGGTGGCGCTGTCGACGGCACGGCGCATGCGCAGACGTCTCACTTCACGCGAAATCGGTTTGTGCACACGCGCAGTGCCCACACCTGGTGTGAGCAAACGCTCACACCAGGTGTGGGCACTGGTGTGCTCACACTAGGTGTGGGCACACCAGGTGTGGGTGTCGGTCATAATATAGAAGTGCAACACACGAGCTAGATGCAGCACGAGATAGTTTATATGGGTGTTTTAATCTCAACTCAGGCACAGATTAGTGTCATATTTTTAATTTTGACACAAATTTATGTTTTTGTGAGCCTTCTTGAAATGAAGAAGCGCGCAAACAACACGATTAGCGGATATTTTTTTTATAATTTAGTTATTATTGAAGTGGTCGGGGAAAAATCTCATGTTTCTTGCACCGGTCGGCGATCACATGTTTGACCTCTCGCTATATTGTCATTACTGCACTAGTACTCTTTTGGAAAACTGTCAAGAGGAATTAATCTTAATTAATCTTACTCTTAATTAATCATATGATTACTTTTAATTTTAACAAGACCCTTTATTTTAAAATTATCTTGATAAAAATGTCAATTTATATCTTTTTCGTGACCTTTTGGCAAATTTTCGCAACTTCATACGTGTGACCTAGTCAAAATATCTTAATGTGCTAGATAGCAACATATATATATATGCATATATATTATAATCAGTGAATGTTTTCAAAATATTGCTAATTCAAAACCAATTTAAACTAAGAAGATATTCGCGCTACTATTATTAGTAGCTAAGTACGAAAGTGATATGTCGTTAAATAAAATGCTTAGTTTATTGTTAGTATGGATGTAAATAATGTTTGAATCGTGTTCAATGTGCATTGTAAAGCCGCAAGCTTTGTTGCGGAGTGAACTAACTTTTATTTTGCATTACGCATTATTTCAATTATTTTTAAGCTTACGAGTTAAGTATCACTTTTAGTTGATTCATCATATTAATGTCGAAATATTAGCCAGAATAGCAGGCTGGCGAGGATACAGTCACAACACGAAATTCAAAGGTTAAACCTTTAATTACCGCAATGCACAAAAAATACTTTATTTTATATTTTTATTTTCTGATAACCACAATTACACCTCGCTACTATAATAACAAATGAAGAAAATAAAAAATAGGTTTTTTGAGAAAATCTGTTCTAGATATTTCAGATTTTCAAAACATTCGCTCATTCGAATGTAACGCATTTTATTTTCTCTATATATTGACCTGATGTGCACTAAAAATAGCTATATTTGAGCTACCTCGAAATCTGAAGGTAATCACAATATCTTACATATTCCACACGTAAGAACTTGGCAAACTATGGCAAAAGTCTCCAAAAGACATCATATCGTTCTTTAAAAGAAAAAAAAAACTGTCCATAAATAACTTAATTTTGAGTGTAACAGAAGAGCCTAGGTGCAGTAGTTTTGAGAAGTGACAAAATAGCGAGCTCTCAAACATGCCATTTCCCTCAGGTAGCAAATAGCACGTTTTTGTTATACTAAGGCATAGTTTTCGTAACTTGGTTTACATTTAGACCATAGAAAAATATATATACATCTTGAGAGGATTCGCAATACCAATAAAATGTAAAGTAATAATCTTGCTCATTTCTTTTTTTGAGGGGAGATTTATTGTTGGTGCAGACAAGGCGATAACTGAAATGTCACCCACATGTTTGACCACTCGATATTTTGTTACTTCTGAAAATACTGCACTATGACTCGCCTGTGAGACTCTCCAAAGAAATTTCATTAAGCTTTATGAACTAGAAAAAAAACTAATTTAAAAGCACCTTTTCAAAAAAATATCGGTGTTTCTTTTGTGTTTTGGTCAAATTTAAGAAGTTTATACGTTTGACCTATATGGTATTTTATTTACAGTTATATCACCAAAAGCTCAAAATCACCTTTTTTTTATTGCATATGCGCTTTATACTTTTTCTGAAAATTAAAACTCAGTACAGGGTGTTCACTCGTCAGATCGTACAATGATGATCTGTGTCATTCTTTTTATATTTATGTACTAAATATATGTGAAACTCATGCTCTTGGGAGGAGAATTCAGCTATATATGAACGTCTTGCTAATTTTCTTTCGGAGATATGCAATTTCGAAGCTGGGGCGGGGATATTGCCGAGGTTTCACTATGGTAATTTGCACAGCCGTGAATTTCACGCCTAACTGTGCAAAGAGTAATAATGTTTCTACCTCTTTTATAAAAGGCTTGCAACCTGTGCAAAAAATTTGAAAAACTACAATAAAAACTTTCGATGCATAAAAAAATTACGCAACGAGTCATGTAAACACGTTTCAGAGACGCGTCACCGAAATATTTAACAACATACTACTTTATATAAAATTACTCAAAAACAATTAAAATAAGCATATTTAAATACATTTTGCAAATATATAAAACATAAGTACTTAGCCCTTTTTGTAGTTCTGTTCACAATGCAGTAAAACAGCTGATTTCTAAATGTGGCCAAACTGCTTGCCAATAGTTAAACCAAATACTGTCTTTATATTTGTTCACTTTCGCTTATCTTTTGCAGTGCCATTAACGAACTTGTGATGGCAAAGCATTGAGTAACATATAATCTCCAAGAAAGAAAAATGACAAAAAGCCTCAACCCAAACTGGGCTTGCTTGTCTCTGTTGTGGGGGCTTTGCTGCACGACGCCCGCTCCAAAGCGATTTTCTTGGACCGACAAAAGCTGTACAGCGGTGATGCTTTCTCTTACGGTGTAGGAAGTCGTCCTCTTTCGTCCCTCCCCGTCCTTGGTCTTTTAGCCTGCACAGAACTCTCGGCGGACGCCACTGCTGCCAAAGGTTGATACCGTATGCGGTGGCCATTACCGTGAAACGCAAATCCCGCACGCGAGGAAGGTCTGTCACCGAAAAACAAAGGCTAGGAAAGCCGTTTCTGGAAACTCGGTCTCTTGGTGTTCAAATTGTGTGACGGCAAACGAACAAGCATACCATTTATAAGTATCGATGTGTACCAATGAAATATAGATAGAAGTTGACATCTACTAGGGTTTTGCTGTTGGTTGTTTTCAAGTCAGTTCATACAATTATAGTCCGAGGCATATTTAGTAAATTTCTGTCAAATGTTTACCATATGAAAGGCATCTCGTTGGGACAAGCGCTCAGCCACATAGCTATACGTATACACTGGGTTTTCACGAAACGCGGGCCGAATCTTTTACTTCGAAAAACACGCATCACAGAGAACGACGGTTGATGTAGTATTGGTCCCTGCGAAATAACAAAGTTGGGAAAAAATAAGATTGCTTGATATAATTAGTGTAATAATTAAGCATATTATTTATCTTCAAAATAAGGACATGTGTCATTTCAATTAGAAATGCCGCGTGCACCATGGAAACCTTTTAATTCCACCCACGTTTGTAAAGACATAAGCCATGCGCTGCATTTTAGGGAGCTCCTAGACAAAGCACTACCTTTGAATGTGTTTCGAAAACAAAGAAAAAGGGGGAAGGGGGTTATAAGGCAACTTAAGGAAGCTCAAATAAAACTAAGTTACGGAGAGTACGCCTCTCTGCACCTTACGATAGGGCAAGACAGATGAACAGCCTTTGTCGGTTCTAGAATGATGTCTTTTTGCAGCCGACGTCCTGCGGCAAAGCTCCGAGAAAGAAGACAAGCAAGCTGAATTTATTTGAAGATTTCTTGTAGTCTTTCTTTTGTAGAAGTAATATTTTCCTCGATGCTTGACATCACAAGCAATCAAATCCCAAGAAAGAAACGTAAAGGATAGCTTATATGGTTATACCATGATATGTTCACACACACGCACGGAGAACGAATACGACAAGCAGCATCAACAGCTATGGCTCGGCGACGCCGCAAGAACGTGACGATAGCGGCTGGTAATCAACGTTTATTCGTGCGCAGCTTGCGCTTTATATGGTAGACAGGCAAGGGGAAGGCGAGAGGGAAAGGGAGAGAGAAGGTGGAAGATAAGATGACAAGCGCCACTGTGCTTGTGGCGGCGTAGCCGATCTGCAACAGTCTTCTCCCTCCTAGGGGGAAAACCGCACTGGGGCTCTCCTGGTTCGAGTCGGTCGCTGCAGGCCTGGCGCTGCCTCCGGCGGCGGGAGACGTGACGGACTGGAAGCACTTTCCGGTGGACTCTCGGGAAGCCGGGGCTTGACTTGATCGAGGTGTCTGTGAAGGACGTCTCCCTCGTTGCCGTCGGCGGTGACCATGCGTGCGCCGTCCGTGGACTGTACTCTAGCTGGTGTCCACAGTTCACCTCTTCCAAAATTTCGCACCCATACTGGTTCCCCTGTGTGGACAGGATTGTTGGTATAAGTGTCGTTCCGATCGTTGACTCGTGATGGTGGGGGTACGACCGCATTATCTAGCCTTGAGCGCAGCTCGTATCCCATTAGCAGCATGGCCGGGGTCTTGCCACCTGCGGAAGGTGTCCGACGGTACTGATGCAGCACCCTTGCTAGACGAGTCTGCAGCGACCCTTGCTTGTTTTTTTTAAGGCCCTGTTTCACTGTACGGACGGCGCGCTCCGCCAGCCCATTAGACTGGGGGTGGTAAGGTGCCGTACGAAGGTGAACGATGTTATTGAGCCGCAGAAACTTTCCAAACTCTTCACATGTAAACTGTGGGCCATTGTCAGATACAATGGTTTCTGGCAACCCGAAAGTGCTAAATACCGTTCGCAACGCCTCAACCGTAGAAACCCCATTGGCACTTTTTATGGGCACCGCCTCAATCCACTTCGTGTTTGAATCTACCACAACTAACAACATAAAACCATCCACTGGTCCCGCAAAATCGATGTGCAATCTGGACCAGCGTCGCCCCGTCTCCGGCCACGGAACAGGTGTTTGTCTAGGTGGCATCGGTGCGGCCTGCACACAAATATGGCACGTCTTTACGAGTCGCTCAATATCTTGGTCAATGCACGGGTACCACAGCATTGAGCGAGCTAGCGTCTTCATGGAGCCCATTCCCTGATGCGTATCATGCAGTAGTCGTAGCATTGCTGGTCTGGCAACCTGCGGCACAACCACGCGATGGCCCCAATACAAAAGCCCATGGCTAACAGTCATCTCGTCTCTCCTGTCAAAGTAGGGTTTTAAATGGCTGTCCTCTAGTGCTAGACGAGAGGGCCAGCCTTCCTGTACCCACTTCCGCACCTTTGCGAAACCATCATCTTCCGCCGTCAAAACGGCCAACTGCTTAGCCGACAAGGCGCCATCGTTGAGGCTTTCAGTGAGGAGAACATACTCACAGCCATCCTCGTCTTCCGCCGATTCAGGGGGTGCTGATCCAGACGCTGGAAGCCGGCTGAGTGCGTCGGCCGGAATATTGGCTTTGCCGTCCTTGTGCTGGATGACGTAGTTGTAGGCCCCCAGCAGCAGAGCCCACCGTTGGATCCGCCCCGCGGCCATCGCCGGTACGGCCTTATCAGGATGAAACAACCCCAACAAGGGTTTATGGTCAGTCGCGAGCGTGAAACACCTTCCCAAGAGGTATGTTCGGAATTTCGACACACCGAACACCAAAGCGAGGGCCTCCCGCTCTAACTGTGAATAATTCCGCTCGGCGGCTGTGAGTGTGCGAGAGCGGAACCCTATGGGGCGCAGGACCTCCTGGCCAACATCGTGAGACAGTACGGCGCCAATGCCCAATGGTGACGCGTCACACTCAAGAATTAACGGCTTGTCTGGGTCAAAATGCGCCAAGAAGTCAGCTTTTTTGAGTTGGGTCTTCGCCTCGCTAAACGCGCGTTGCTGTCTGGGTCCCCATTCCCACTTTGCCTCCGCGCGGAGAAGCTCGTACAACGGCGCCATGATCGAGGACGCGTTCTTGAGGAACTTGTGGTAGTAAGTCACCAGCCCTGCTAAGGACCTTACTTCGGCTACTGTTCGGGGCGCCTTAACTTGGAGGATTGCATCTATGTTTTCTGTCTTAGGTTGCACCCCTAGATTGCTAATTCGGTGCCCCAAAAAGTCCACCTCGGTCTGTCGAAACTTGGACTTCCCTGGATGCACCCGTACCCCCGACTCACGAAATCTTTGCAATACTTTCCTAAGTAGGGTGCAGTCATTACGTTTCTCAGCGATAATGACGTCATCCAGATAGACCTGGACTCCCGATAGGCCTTGAAGAATCGACTCCATACGCCGCTGGAACAACGCTGGTGCTGACGCGATGCCGAATGGCAGACGAGTAAAACAGAATAGCCCTTTCTGCGTATTCACGGTCGTGAGTAGCATAGATGCCTTATCTAACGGGAGCTGATTGTACGCATCGCGTAAGTCGATCGTAGTAAAAACTTCGCCTCCGTTCAGCGTTGCAAGAATATCTTCCACTCGCGGAAGCGGATACTGTTCAGTCCGACATGCTTGATTAACCGTGATCTTGAAATCTCCGCAAAGGCGTATGCTACCATTACGCTTTACTACCGGCACAACAGGCGCTGCCCAATCGGAATGGGGAATTGGGATAATAACGCCCGTTTCCACTAACCGGTCAATTTCTGCCTCTACCTTTGAGCGTAAGGCGTACGGCACTTGACGTGCTTTACAAAACTTCGGAGCTGCGTCCGCTCGAGGCTGAAGGCGGACTGGCGGCCCCTGAATGAGGCCCAGCCCTGGCTCGAACACTTCCGCGAATTCGTCTAGCAACCCCTTGAGATTGACCTTGTCCCCGAAACTGGAGGCCGAAGGCTCACCTTCTGTTCTACGCTGAGTACCGGCATCTCCAGCAGGTCGAATGCGTGTATGAGGTCGCGTCCACACAGGTTGGGGCCGGAGCAGCCCAGGACAGTCAGTGTTCCTTCCCTGGCTTGGTCTCCCAAGGCCACCTTGAGCTTCAGCTGCCCGCGCACTGGTAGTTTTCCGAGGAAACAAGTCAACTTCAGAGGAGAATCCTGGAGGCTCGGCCACGCAGCTTTGTGCCGCATGTAGGTAGGCCACGTGATGACCGACACCGGAGACCCCGTATCGAGTTGCATGTTGACAGGCACGCCCCCCCAGTCGAAGGTACCCGCAATAGGCTGAGTGGTCTCGATGTGCCCGACGTGTTCCATTGACGCCCCCAACATGAACAGGCCCTCTGTTCTGGTATCCCACTCTTGTTCATCCCGCGGGGCCAGTGCATTGACGTGCTGTGGGGTTGGCCTTGTTGACGCGGTGACTGGTCTGTCGGCGCGACGGAAACAAGCCTTGGCGATATGACCTCGTTGGCGGCAGTTGTAGCATTGCGCTGACCGAAAACGGCACGCGTCTGGCTGGTGTCCCCCTCTGCCACACCTGGAACACGGCGACTCAGTCTCCCGCCATTTCTGCCTTGCCGTCCTGCTTCCCACGGCGTGCACGCCCCCATCCTCTGTCGTGGCGCGTTGCATTTCCTTTACATTTTCTTCCGCCATTTCTGCTGCTACGGCGACTTCCTCGGCTTCGGTTCTCGTCAAGAACGGCTTAGCCAAATGTTGCCGACGCACCGTTGAATTTTGGAGGCCGCAGACTATCCGATCCTTCAGCATCCGGTCCAATGTGTCCCCGAAGTTGCACGTGTCTGCTATTTGTCGGATGGCCACAACGAAGTCTCTTACCGGTTCCCCCGGCAGCTGGTTGCGGGAGAAGAACTTATACGACTGGGCCGTTTCGTTCAGTTTTGGCGAGAAATGTTGCTGCAGAAGGCTGACCACTTCGCTGTACGGAAGCTCATTTACCTTTGCTGGAGCACAGCGTCCGCTGATGACGTCCACGGTGTTGGTACTCAGCGCTGCGACGAGTAAGGCGCGTTTCTTCTTCCCGTCTGTCACCCCGTTGCCTTCGAAGAACGCCTCCAGACGGATTTGGTAAGCGGGCCATTTGTCAACGGCCTCGTCGAACTGCGGCGGAACTGCATAGCTGACCATGTCTGCCGACAGAGCAGCGGAAGATATACTATCGCATCGTCGTCGCCACTGTTACGACGCCGCAAGAACGTGACGATAGCGGCTGGTAATCAACGTTTATTCGTGCGCAGCTTGCGCTTTATATGGTAGACAGGCAAGGGGAAGGCGAGAGGGAAAGGGAGAGAGAAGGTGGAAGATAAGATGACAAGCGCCACTGTGCTTGTGGCGGCGTAGCCGATCTGCAACAGATAGCTTATATGGTTATACCATGATATGTTCACACACACGCAAGGAGAACGAATACGACAAGCAGCATCAACAGCTATGGCTCGGCGTTCCGTGGACTGGCCTTCATCTTAAGTAACCTTGTACATATGGAAATAAATCATTAATTTAGTTAGGAACTAAAGGCCTCGACGACTACAAATTCGTCAATTGAAGCATCATTAATCCTACAAGCCATTGGGAAGTTGAAAAGTGACCCGGAATTTGATGGCATTATGACGCTGATTTCGAAATAGGAAACAAATTTTCGCCGCTTCTTAGATACCGAGTTAAATAAAACAAATATGTAGAAAAGAACATCTTTTTTTACGTATAGCACCTGTCCAGGCACATCTCAAAATATTGTGGCGACGCGACCAGCATCACCATCGGATTCGGCTCACCCGAGGCGCGCACTCCCGAGTCCGAGCTTGGGACGGCAAGAGTTGGCTTAAAACAGATTCTTGAAAACCGACCGGTACTACTTCTTCCCATTTATCAGCACTCAGTTCGAACAAAAATAGTGTCACAATATTTTTTTTAAGACGATACCGTACCGAAGTCGAAATGCTGTTCACGATCTAAATATAGAGTTGATTTTTGTTTTGTTTTCTGAAGGAAATTACATTATTTCTGAATTTCTGGGAACTTTCTGGATGGCACATATCCGGACAGTTTAAATTTTTATTTTTGAAAGCATGCAGTCTTCTAAATATCATGTGCTCACAACGTCGTGTAACCAAAATTTGGCTTCCTCCCCCCCCCCCCCTCCCCCCCCCCCCCCCCCCCCAACCCGATCCTCGCTTAAATTCAGTCATGTAGAAACCTGTTACCTGCTTGCCCCCGATGTCCTCCTTGCGACACGGGTGCAGTCCCAGAGGTTCTACGTTGTCGTAATTATGACCCATCGAGTCCAAGCACATGCCAGTTCGGGCATTCTTCACCTGTCCACAGACGCAGAACACTGTGAGACACTAATCCTGCAGTCATCAACATGTACTAAAATCGCCCATTCGAGGAAGAGCCACATAGGTGAAACCCAGAGCCTCTAAATATACTTTGCTAAGGGCCCATTCCCAGATCGCCTTAAGGGCACCGCTGCTTATTACAGATCAAGCGCAATCATTGATTGTTAAGATTTGAATATCCGACTTTCCTGACCTTTTGATATATCGTCAGGAAGCTCGGGCGGTATCGTTTTTCTCTGCCGTAGTGTGTTTCAACATTCCTGGACGAGGACGAGTGCATCCTGCGATCTCCGATGGGGCTTTAAATAAACGCAATAGAAAATTTAGGTAACATGGCGCCTGAATGAAGATTCGTTACACTGCTCTGCCTGCTTCGTGGTTTTAAATTACCCCTCCCCCCCCTCCCCAACCCAAAACAAAATCTCTGCTGAGAAGTTCTCAAAATCCATAGCTTTTCACGGACGTCCTCGCCCCTAAGCGAAGTGTTTTTCCATTTCAAGCACTATTTAGGACGATGTGAGCCACCCAATTCGAGCGCCACAATCTTTCAAACACTCCCTACTCTGTACAGTCTTTGCCAAAAGTGCAAGCCCACCGCGCGTGTGGCCGGGGTGGGATAGGTCCCGTGCAGTGGCGCTGCCATAATCGGCGCTGCTTGAGAGTGACGATGAACATCACTCTTGCCTCGCGGCACTAGCCTTGATAATTAAGTCAAATATATTTAAAGAGGGCGTCAAGAGCGCCAATGCCTCCCCTAGCGAAGGAGGTACCCCGCGTCGGAGAAAACGGACGTGCATCACGCTGTTCATGATGCCACGTTTTCGCACTTCACCCATAAAGTCCTAAGATATCGGATCTGCCAAAAGAGCAGCAATGGCTGTCTCCGCTGTCTCGACAGGTTTCCACGACAAAAGATGGCGGCAGCCAACCCTCCCAATTCAAAGGGAAAAACGGGGAGGCTACGTTCGTTCAGCAATTTTGACTACGCAAAGGCTGTTAGAGCCAAGGCCATTTGTTTTTCAAGGAGTAAGTTTCCCTAGTATGTAGTTGACAAAATCACGACGCAAGTGTGAAGAGCCTCTTCACTCTCACAACCTTTACGGCCAGTGAAAGTCAACAATAGCAAAACCACCGTAACAGATCTAACTCTGCCAATGCGCTGAGTGGCCACTGAGCTTTTGGCAAAGACTGCACATTATTACTTACAAGGTCTACAGGCCTCTATACTGCTTTATTGCACCAATGACGGAACCAAGACGGGTTCCTTAGCTATCGCTCAAGAAAAATAGCCATAAGAATGGTTTCGAGGGTCCTCGTGAGGATATTTTGAGGGTTTAAGAGATAAAATACCTACCATTCCAGCCAATTCTGCCCATAACATATAAGCCGTACCTGTCGTTTTCCTTAATTCCCGCGTAACATGGCTTACCCAGTAATAACTTAAACTTTACATGTCGCTCCTAAATCACAAAAACGTGACTCCTTTCACTGCTGACACTGCTTCCTTACACTAATTCCTTGCACTGCTGTTTGATGACTCCGACATTGTCAACATAACCAAAACGTGGCTAAAGAAAAAACATTTAGAACAACAAAATCGCACCTCCAGTATGAGAACAAAAAAAAATATAGAAAAACCCTGACCCGAGGATACGCTGCATCGCTAAAATCATGAATTCGTTTTGATCAGAGGAAGAGCAAACGAAGGCTGGCAGGCTTTGGTGTGAAATAAGATAGACAGCTCCTACTTTGTAGCGGAAGCGTTATGTAGCCCCCCCCCCCCCCCCCCCCCCCCGACACTATAAAAGAGACTGGGATATATTTTAAGGCAGTGAAGAAAAAACAGTGAAATATTTTAGCAGGAGCTTTAAATTTCTCACCAATTAATTCGATATGTTTGCATTTACATTCAAAAGAACTGTGCCAAGTGTATTTTAGGTATTGCATGAAGTGTGGCCAAACAGGTGTTACGAGTTTGATTTCTCGGAACTTTATGTCCATACTAGATTACATTTTTCATAGCAGTAACTTTAATGACTTTAGTGTAGGAGTATTAGGTGCAATTTCTGACCAGAAATTAGAGTTGCCAGAAGTGCCCAGTTATATCCAAATGTCCCAACTAAAAAAAAAACACACGAACTGGAGCGCGTTGGTAAGGTACGGTGATAACAGAAAAGCGACATAAAGGACGAAGACAGGACAAACCATTGTTCCATGTTTGTTCTTGTCTTCGTTTTTTGTGTCGATTTTGTCTTTATCTAAGACAAACTAACGTTCCTGATTTTACAAACGTAAATAATGGCACTATAAAAGACTCATTAGACCGGTCCCTTGGTTGTTTCACCAGCTTTAAAGAAAGTAGCAGCACTAACGTGATTTGGAAAAGTTGTAGGAACCTTGCTCAAAATTGTGCGACTAGTTTTGTCGCATACAAGATCAATACGGTTAATGACAAAAACTCATGAATAGACCATCACGTTATTCACATGCAGCGCAAAACCTGGTGCACTCCTAAAAGGGCTGGGGCTCTCGGGTTATAAAGCACTTCTTGTTGGGCTAGTTGGTGATGAACGTTTTGAACCAATGCTAAAATCACTAAAAACACGAATACAGGAGAAGAGACGAACACGGGCGCTAGTCACAACTTTATTTGATAAAAGAAGATCGAAGTACGCACACGCACACACGCACGCACGCACACACACACACACACACACACATATATATATATATATATATATATATGTGTGTGTGTGTGTGTTATTAAAGTTATTAAAGTTTGAAATATTTAATTTGCTTCTTAGTTTTGCGTAATTAGCTTTTTGAATATTTTTGTTTAAGGGCATGATTTCAATTAGAAAATTGGTGAGTATCATCTAAAGGCTCTAAATCAATAAATTGCAGAACGATAGAAGGCACGCGCAGCATTTACGGATTTCTGAAAAACCGCACAACTTCGACGTGTTTTTAAGTTTCGGTTTGCAATCGGAGCTCTTTGTGACACCGACTGCACCACTCCGCGTAAAGAAATAGTGCATCTAAACTCTGCTGTGCTGTCCTCGCGCAACGCAGCAGAATCTGCTGGGACTATTTCTCCACGGGGCGGGGTGCAGTCGGGGCTGAGAAGCGCTCTGATTGCAAAGTGAGAGGGAACCCCTTATTTGTCTATACTAATAACTTCACAATGTTGCACTATCTTATGAAATGTAATCCACTCTCCTCTATAATACCTCAACCCTTTAAGATAAAAAAAAATTTAAAAATGCGCGGTAAAGTGTAACAGAAGAAAGTTGTCAAAATTATATAAAGTTCGTTGGCCTCAAATTGTAATTTATTTCAACAGCGAAATGTATTTACACAAATATACTATAATGCATCTTCAAATGTACATGTAAATATTTATTTAATTAGATACATACTTTGGGCAGCTAATTAATCTTCCTGTTTAGATAAATAGATTTTAGGCAATGCATTAAAACGTTATCAACCGCGTCCTCCCCTCCCCCCCCCCCCCCAAAAAAAAAAAAAGGAAAAACTTTTTGTCACCGAAAAAAATATATTACCCTACCTCACGCAATTATTCTGCGGCTAAATGTAGCGTTATCGGTCCGAACCATATGCCAAAGTTTAAGAACTAACCGTTACCTTAATTAAAAGTTAACGATTTTCCTATATTTTCAGTAAGAAAATATGGCCCGTTCTTGCCCATTTACAGTAACTGGCGGCATTCAGCCCCATAAAATTAAGATCTCCGTTAATCGCCATTTCCCCAATGGAAATATCAGGAAATTACATAACTTTTGAATAAGGTAACGATTAATTCTGAAACATTGGCATGTGGTTTGAAACGCTAGCGCTACATTTGGACGGAGAATGTGTGGTAGTAGACGCGTAGTTTGTTTCTTGGGTGTAAAAAACTCTGTAAATTTATTTTTGAGACAGCCTGTGCATAAATGCAATACATAAATACATAAATGTGTCTACCGCCTTCTACTGAGTCCTTGTCCCTGCGCTGTTTTGTTTTCCGCTAACATAAATGCAGTTGAATTCTTGTTTGTTTGAATTAACGAAAAATAATACGCCCCTAGACCCGAGTGGTGAATGCTAAGACTGCTCATACCTCAACTGAGATTATATTCATCCAGTTGATCCCATTACTGGCCTCAGATGGCACTAAAGCTATAGTCATACGTTCCTGTTTAACTGTGATTAGGCAAACGGCGTTTAGCCGCCGCTAACCATGGTTTGGCCAAACTGAAACTGAGATCAACGTTACTCGAACCACTCAGTTGGCAAATTGCCACAGTGGCAACGATCCGTACAAGAGAACCGAGCTAAATGCGATCGCAACGCCACCATTTTTCCCGCAGCGGCCACTCGGGAAACTGCACGGCTGCTTGTGTTGGTTCGAGAGTATCGCGTTCGATAGCGTCAGCACTGAGTGTTCTATTTTAGCTTTAATCGACCACTTTGGTGGCGAAACATATACAGTGGAAAGAGAATCAGGGATACCAACCCCCATCTCTCAAGTGGACGAGCCACGAATTGCTTTGGAAATTAGGCCGCACCCCCCAAGTCGGGACGCACTAACTGAAATCACCGATAAGACATAGTTGTATAAAACAATATTAATTGTACAACGATTCTTGTAAACTGAGGCTTTTAAAAAACATCACACGCCTGTTATATTGTACTAATCCCCAATAAAAGTTCCTACAAAAAGAGATTTTTCCGTTTGTTTTCACGCAAAAACATGCTTTCTGAAAGCTCAACGTGACCACAGTAAAGAAAAAAAAAATTCAGCCGCTGTCATGGCACCTCGAGCCTCGGAGTTTCGGTACTCTGGAAACATTCAGTGACTCTGGCACTAGCTATACACCGTTCCAAGTTGGGCTTCCTGGGCGGCGCCATTTTAACGAGTGTGTTGCCGTCTACCCTCATCCGGGCATTTGGTATATTATGAACCCGTC